CCGGTGTTTTCTCCACGGAGGAATGTGAAGGCCTCTGCTTTTCAACGACCGTCTCGCGGCGTCACTCATTACTCTCAATATCTGCTTCAAGTCTTCAATTTTGCCAACAAAAACCTTCGGCAATGACAGTAGTAATTTTTCATACTGATTCGTCGGCCTCGCGATTTCGAACTCAGCTGCGAAATCGAGATCGACGAAGTAACGAGTGACGATCCGATTGGCTGAATCTAATCTGATAATATCAATAAACTCATAGTTTCCGGCTGCAAGTCCACCGGAACTCTCCCATTTCGCCTTGCATACCGCCGCATTGTAACCAAAATTTCTCAAATATGCCATTACATTCCTCTGGAGTATCGATTTATTCGATTTTGCACATGAAAACACTTCCAATGCCTTAGCAATACAAGACGCCAATACATTACGGTACAAATCGAGATCGCTTTGGAAAATAGACTTCGGAGTATCTTCAATCGTGTCCGTTGATTCATACCTTGATACGTCGGTCTCAGAATCTGAGTCATTTTCAGGTGACTCGTTTTGGCCATTGTTTTCAGGATAACCGAAAACGAGATCGGAAAAACTAGGAGAAGCGACATCATAATCGGCGTGAGCGCTGTGTTCGCTTCCGCTGCTGAAGTAACCGAGTTCATGTTTATCACAGCCAATGATCTGAGCCTTCACCTTTTCGTCTAACGGGTCAGTAACTCGCTTCCTCCTGCTAAAACCAGAATACATTTTTGTTCCTTCAATAATTAGCAGAACAGAATTAGCTAGTGCAGTTATTTTGAAAAAAGATGTTAGATGTTTGGGGATTAAAAAGAGGAAATTTAATTATTGAAATGCGAATATTCTAATGAAAGTACTCGAATTAGAAAAGAAAAAAGTAGGAGTGGATAATTCAGTTTTATATACTCTGTTTAAAAAAGAGGGGAATGAGTCATGGAACAGGAGGACGAAGAGCATATCCTACAAGTTTATTCACGCATATGCTACTTTGATTGAACGCGTATAAAGTTTCTTGAAGAATGGTTTAGCACGAGAACGGCACGTGATACAACTAGAGGCAGAATGAGTCTATGGCTTCTTACTTTCGATACTGAGTGCTGTCAAACTTTTCTATAAAAGCTTTATTTGTTCCGATATTTTTTGGTTGCTATAGTAAAGTGTTGTTATAAAGGAACATAAAAATCGGTTCCGAGAAAAATATGACTTTTATAGTAAATGAATATTATATAAGAATGTTGTTATAGAGAGGTCTGCATGTATAAACTTATTAAAATTTTAATAAATATTAGATAAGAACTCATAATTATTAGAGTTTAACGAGTTCAATGGAAGTTTAAATCTATTATATTTAAATTTTGGATTCGACTCTGTATACGCTACTCATCGAGAGGCTAATCGAATGCTTAGCTAGAGAGCTAGGGGGTACTGCCTTATTTGTGGTATGCCTCTTCAAGAAGTCGAAAAGGTGATGGAAGAGAGAGAGACAAAGGGGGTAAAGACTAAAGAATACGTAATTGATTATATTGTTGCATGGATTAGATTTTGGAGAATGGATTTGGATTGAAACGGAAAAATGTTTAGTCTTTAATTAGATAACTAACGGGTCAAAAATTGGGATAAACATGTCTGGCGTAGTGCATATATCATGGCATGGCTGATTTATGCACACTAATACTAACGGAGTCAAGAATTTTAAGGTCGGAGTACTCAACTATGTAAATATAAGATTGTTATTATTCAAAGAGCATATCAGGGTGGTCATGACTTGGGTTACAAGAAACCGATGGTCACGAGTTATGTATCTCAAATTTTTTGATGTATCTGGTATAAATGTACAATCTAAAAATCTTGAGCTAATTAGAAAATATTGTTGCTTTTCCTTTGAATATGAGATTACGAACTGATTCTGGATACACATTGGTTATGCGTTCCTATACACTATTTGAAACTTTATTATCCTTAATGTCCATGTTTAGCTAATTATTGGATATAAACAAGTTTTGTTTATAAAATATATAAAATCTACTTTAAAAGCTCCCAAATCCATTATTTGCTCCTTCAATCAAGAAATTTAGTTAAACTCTTTTTCTTTTTTTCTCTTCTCTCCCCTTTCTCTCCGGATCTTCCATTATTTTAAACTATTTATCTAAAACTAGAAAAGTGCCAGTAGTCCCCTCTTCCTTTTCCTATGTAATATAAGTCCCATAGTCCCCTCTTCCTTTTAACAAAAGAAACCAGAAAAGTGTAATATCTATCTGAACAATATTGCCATCACTCTATTGATTCAGTTTGAGACGATAATACAAACAACAAAGGCTGAAAACTCTGATTTTCTGTACAATCCGATACTACCAACCCTAGCCTTTGGCAAGAATTTATCTTTGCAGTAGCAGTTGCAAAAATGCAATAACATAGCAACAGAAAATAATATTAACAAGAAGAAATGAAAATTACACCACCCCCTATTCTGTTTCTTAGTTGAGTTGATGTAATGCCCAAGCAGAAACTTAATATGTACAGGGGTGAAGGTCAATAGAAAACGTTTCAGTAGCATCGCTTTAATCTTGAGATTGTCATGTTTCATTAAGATACAGTTGTTGCTAATTCTTCGGGCAGACATGATATTAGGCTTCTCCTAAGACAAAATGTACAGCAAAACCAGGGAAAAGTTAATATTCAAAACCAGATACAAATTTCTACACAGTTAAATACAACTACAATATCATACACAGTGGCGAAGCCACATATTGATAAGGGTGGTCAACTGACCACCTTTCGCCGAAAAATTACACTGTTTACATAGGTAAAATATTACGTTTTCGAAGTATATAACACATATTTAACACCATTTGTCGGAATTTTTTCCACTTCTTTTAAATTTGAACATCCTTGAAGAAATTCCTAGCTTCGCCACTGATCATACAACTTAAATATAATTTTTATATAAATTTTATACAATATTTTTTGTATATTTTGTATCTGATTATACATAGTAAAAATAAATTTCATACAACTAATTATATATTATACAACTTATCTACAACTTTCACACATTATTTCTACCCAGTTATATACAACTACAATATCATACAACTTAAATACAATTTTTATACAATATTGTTCAACTTTTATACAATATTTAAATAAAAAAAATATAAACAACATAATACAATTTTTCTACAATTTTACTACAACTTTACTACAATTTCTGTAGTATAATGTATGTCATGTCTTCTTCTTCTTCTTCTTCTTCTTCTTCTTCTTCGACGAGTTTCAATCTGAAATTTAGCCAAAATCAAGTCCAATCTTCACCAAAACAACCTCAAAATTGAGATATAAACTCCAAATAATATTCCTAATTGTTTACAACAACACCCAATCCAAACAAATAATGGTTTTTGAAAACCCAAATTCGAATTCAAAGCTACAAAGATTTTTAATGTCTGTCAATAGTGGAATTGCTGCTCTCTTTTCCTTTGCTTTACATTACTGAAATTAGGGATTGAGAGATAGAGAGAGACGTAGAGAGAATTCCCAATTGTTTGCAACAATACCCAATTCAAACAAATAATGTTTTTTGAAAACTCAAATTCGAATTCAAAACTTCAAAGCTTTTTAATGGCTGTCAACGGTGAAATTGCTGCTCTTTTTTCCTTTGCTCTATATTACTGGAATTAGGGATTGAGAGATAGTCAGAGACATATATATATATATATATATATATATATAGAGAGAGAGAGAGAGAGAGAGAGAATAAGGATGAGAAATAATTGATTCCTAAAATAAAGGGATACTCGTTTAATTTTTAAAGTGTATATAATTGGTAAATTTATATATAAGAAGTAATTAAATTAAAATTTGAGTTGGTAGGGTAATAAAGTTTCCAATAGGGTATAAGTATGTAAAATTCCCATATAATAATATGGATTCGAAACTCGTTAACAAACTTTAAGCCCAAACAACAAAGCAAAATTATTTAGTTGCCACACAAGCACTAGGTCTATCATGGGCAGCTTTCCAGCCATGCCGCACGACTCCTTGGACGCACCCCATGGCGTCATGGCAAGTCTCCCAATGCCCAACGCCATGGTCGGCCTCGTGGTCTTGGCAGTGCCAAGTGACAAGCGCGCATGTGCCTCTGTCGCCCCACTGATAGCCCACGCCAACGCCCAGCGGCTGGCAGATGCCACCAGCGCCGCGCGCATAGACAATGTCGGGCGCACAGTTCATGATGATGCCAACAGCGCTGCACGCACAGACAATGCCGTGCGCGCAGATCCTAATGCTTTGCCAGCGGCCAGCCGCAAGCTGACTCCAAATAGTATCGCGCGCGCCGACAGCACCGCGCGCACAGATCCTGATGCGAAAGACAAAGTTGCTGCCAACGGACCTGTTTTCTGTCTTGTGAAAAATTAAGTCATTTTCATTGTAAATATAGAGTAGTTTTATTTCATATACTTCCATTATGTTTCTCTAGCTTAGTTAAGTCTAGTTTTGTAACTTTGGTTTATTTTTTTTAAGCATTATTAGGGAGGATCAAGCATTCAAAACATTCTAGCAAGCAAACATTTCTCTGTTCTAGTGTCACTCCCCCTTGACACCGCGTAGCCTTTTGTAATAGCTTTCATTAATGCAATCAAGATTTCATTCTCAATTCTCATTTCTGTTCTCTCAATTGCTCTTGACATTGGTTTTTCCGTACGACACTGACAATCTCATCTAGCGTACGGAGGGGACCTCAGTTGGCGGACAACGTCGTTTGCTTAGCCTTACGTCGCCCTTCCAAGGAACCTCAGGAAGGCGCCACGTAACAGTTGGTATCAGAGCCTAGGCTCGACATCGGACGAGGGAACACATATGCCATCACCACCATTTCTGACCATGGTGAATTATGGGGAGCGCATCACGTCACTAGAAGAAACGGTCGACGTACTACGACCATCGTGGATATGGTACCTGATGTAAGCACCAACCTAGTGCAAAGGTTGGACGACCTGGACGCAGAATGCGGCAAGCAGAAAATGACATTGCAAACATCAGTCGTGACTCTGAGGATGATCGGCAAATGGCAGCCATTGAAACTGCCAATATTTATGGCAAATTTGAGGACCTCCAACAGGAGCGTGCCGACGATTTAGCCTATCGAGAACAAGAGGCAGACAGACTAACTGCCATGCAGCAAACCATAAACGACTTGACAAGCCAGCTCAATATTGTCAATTTTGCCCTACAAAGCCTACTTCGAAGAGGCGACAACCACATTAGGGGTGCAACAAACCTCACCCCCATTCTACAAAAACTTAAGATACCGGAGCCAAAGCCATACGACGGATCCTGGGATGCTAAAGAAGTGGAAAACTTCATCTTCGAAATCGAACAATACTTCGATGCCGTGGGCCATTTGGAAGAATCCAAGAAGGTAGCGACTGCTGCCATGTATCTTCAGGGCGATGCCAAACTTTGGTGGCGGGTCAAATACGAAGTCATCAGGGCTGGCGAAGATACTCTCCAGACATGGGCAGAATTGAAGGCATTCATACGCCTACAATTCTTCCCCGAAAACGTGGAATACAATGCAAGGAGAAAACTACGGGATCTCCGCCATACCAGGTCAAGGCGGGAGTACGTGCACGAATTCTCCGGACTCATGCTAAACATACGTGACATGGGGGACAAAGACAAACACTTCGTATTCATAGAAGGTTTGAAACCTCATGCCCGTATGGAACTACAAAGACAAAGGGTAGATACCCTGCCTAAGGCAATTCAAGCTGCAGAATGCCTTGGTGATTATCACATGAAAACTCAGAATGACATGCCCCAATCGCCTGTCCGAGGGGGATACAACGGGAACCATCCTACAATGGTGGTCCAAGCAAAAGTGGGGGAGATCAGAGTACATCCAAAACCAAAACTCCTTCCTCAAGCAGCAACAACTCTGCATCCGTCAACAACTATCATATGAGAAAGCATCCTTCAGAATGCCGTCATTACCGCGGTGCACATTGGAACAATTACTGCCCTCATACAAAGATCAATGCTTATCAGACTGC